TTCTTTACATCTGTTCCCAGCCCCATGAATAAAGTACCTACCTATTTTTTTATGGAATACTTAAATCTTTACTGAAGGATTAATTATAAGTACTACTACCACTTGTTACTTAGTATTTCTAATTGAGTTAATGCAATCATCTCATTAGTTTAATTTAATAAAATAGGTAATTATGTATCTCATCTGCTCCTATGTGTAAAACACATTACTGTGGAGCACTACTTGCATGTGGTCTAAACCAGGCAAAATTACTTTGAACAAGAAGTAGAGCAATAAAACCCACATCAACCAGTGAAGAAGACACAGCAGAAATCAGTGGGGAAAAAATAATGAAATACTTCTTATATATGACATCATAACAGTGATCTAGAGGCAGGTTTAAGCAATTTGCTAATGAAGTTCACAGGGGATTCTTACACCTGTGAGGTTAAAAGTATATTAAAAATGGGCCTAAAGAGGTAGAGCTGTGGAAAATAGTGGTGTAGGAAAGTAGCTACAAAGATATTTGAAGACACCTACTTCAAAACTCAAATGTTGAATGAGAAAGAGTGCTGGAATCAAGGCTTGCCATTAGAGGTAATAGTGGACAGCTCATTAGAAATATATTTGTTGCAGTTTGAGACCTGAGAGCATTGAGAGAGGCCATATGAACATGGATTAATTTCTTTAAAGACAGATGATGAGAGTCTATCTTTGGGATTCCATCAACAATATTGAATTAATTGGTAGTGTTTAACTGTCATAGAGACTGAGGAAATGGGAGTTGTTCTGAAAAAAACAACACAGTTCTACTACAGTGGTTAACAAAAAGCAACTGTAGGGGTAATACTTGTGTAATTAGCAAATTGATCTATCAGGAGAAAATGTGCAAGATTTCCATGAATAAAGGAGAGGGATGCTTTTAACTCAACAGGAGGAAAAATCTTTTTTCAGGTATCTAAAATCAATAGCTATTAGATACTGTAAAAATTAATATGACTTTTTATTCACACTCCATAAGTGACCTCATTTTGACTCAGGTTACATGTTTCTAAGTAGGCTTTTGCATCTCATTTTAGATTCGCTGTGACCTAAATGAGGAATTGAAGGTCTCACATTATTTATGCCTCTGCCAACTCCAGTTTTACTTATTTTCTATGATGAACAGTTCTGTAAGCACACTGGTCTTTTCCCAGGAACTCAGTAATGCTTCCATAAAATACTGGACAATGTATCTGATTTAATTTTTGAAATGGCTAGTTTCTGCATCTTCATGGATGTGTAGGAACTTTTTCAACTTTATAAAATTTTTTTCGTCTCTCTAATTTCCTGGTAGCAACAGGCAGTTCATTTCACAGACCACTACAGCCTTCCCTCAAAGCAATATCTCTACTTGCTGCATTGCAGAGGAACACTTTGAACTAGGAAAAAAATTCACACATGCTCAATCTCCTCAAATCCCATCTTTGACAAGGGACTAAAGCTCTCTGAAAACTGAAGTTCAAGTGAGTCATTGGTTTGCTTCAATCTAAAGCACCTATGAAAAAACTACACTTGTTTCTTTATCCCAAATGCAAACTAAGATAAAGGATTTTAAATCATGCACACCATGCACAGGACAGCAGACCAAGCTGAAGAAGAGATCCACCAGCTGCACCCTTCAAACAGAATAAAATTTGCATAGACATATTCCAATGAGAAAATAAACTGCTGTACAAAACAAAGTAATCTCCTTGTGGCATGCTGTAATGATAGCACTATAACTAATTAAGAGGGAATATAGAAAACAATTAAAAGATTTTATTTTTACCCATAGGATGCATCAACCCTTTTGGAGGGATCATGCTACATGTATTAGATCATATGAGTAGGTGTGTACTATGTAAGGAAACACAATATTACCACAGTCCTGCAATTTACTGTATCTTTACAAATGACAGTTTAACGTTAATGAATTCTACTTTCAAAATGAGAAAAAGTGCTAACTTTATCCATAGGTATTGATTTTCTCAAAGTTCTATAGATTAATTAATTTGTGTATTTTAGCATAATTTCAGTAAAATATTGTCCACTCTTTTTGGACTTTTATTAAGCAAGAGTCTGTTCTTCCACTGTCAAATTGTTTTTGAAAATAGTATTCATGATCATACATTCAAGTGGTTACAGGGTAACTCATCAAAGGACTTTAGTATAAATTATTTTCAAGGTTTCTATTTTTTAATTTATGTGCAAAATTGATCAGTTGCTTCACTTCTCATGGACTCCAGACTGACACAGTGGAATCAGAAGTTTTGAAAAGGGTCAGGAATGCTTGTAGTTTATTGATGTATAAATATGAGTATTGAAAAATGTACTTTTTTTGAGAAATGTGCATATTTTTAAAAAATCACTTCATAAAAAATATGCCTTAAATTTATACACATCTGATTTACAAGAACTCTGCAGTACACTATTTTGAAAATTGGGAGGCCTTAGCATCAGAACTGTTTCTGAATAGGTATTGTATACACATTTCTCTATTATACAGCTCCTAGCACAACAGATCCTTGATGCAGGAATTTGAGGTCTCTGGCAATGTTAGACACACAGTTTATTATGAAGAGTGACTTCATAATAAGGGAATAAATCATATTTTCTGTCCCATGCTGAAATGTTTTGATAAAACTAACGCATGAAAGTCTTCCAGCTTTGCACCACTCTTTAGAACTTTGATCAGTGATGTTTGCAATGTAAAACCACCTGTTTCCTATACCCTAGACTCCTTTTCTCAAAAGCACTGAAGTTGACACCTAAGTTCTATCACTGAGCCATCCAAGGCAAGATTAATATATTGATCTTTGCTCAAGTGCTTGATCCATGTATTTTGCCAACAGGAATAATTGGTTTCATTAAAACATCCTGATCTGTGGCTTCCGTATGCAGTGAAAATAAGACACAAAACAAACTTTAAATCTTTTAACAAAAAAAAAAAAAAAGGGTTCTTCATTTCTTAAAAATAAGTAATTCAACTTTTTTTAATCCTAAAAATATCTTTAGAGACATGCATCTTTATTAGGTCCAGAATTAGGAAGTTATAGTGAGGTAAGATTTGCCTGGTCTAGCACTCCTTTAAGGCATTGTTCACATGCAAGACCCAGATACCCATACATACATTGTTTAACTGAATTAACACGTTCATAGTAATTAAATTCCTTTTTCAAATGGCAAAACCAAAAACATTCTTTAACAAGATATCAAACACAAAATATTTCCCAAAGAGATTGAATTAAAAGAAATTAACTAACACCCAACACATTATATATATTTTGATATTAGATCACTGTTTCATAACCAGATGACAAGAACTTGGAACTCAGATTCCAAGTTCAAACTCAAGAACATTTATGAAGAATAGCAAGTTCTTCAAAGTCTTACAACTGAAAAATAATATGACTGTGACAAAGGCAGATAAATTACTGCCATAATTAGAAGGATCAAAACCATTGCATGTTAGATAATTCCTTTTTGAACAGATGTTACCTGAAAAGTTGCTATATACTTATGTTAACAGAACATATATATTTCACATATCTAAGGGAGATTTAAAAAGGGAAGAAAACAATGAAACTGTACCAGTAATAATATTTCATATCCATTTTTCAGAAATATAAATGAGAACACAAAGGGTGTAATGCTCAATTGTAATACAGTTTGTTAATCGTATTTAACACTGGGATTCTACACAGTATTAAATGGAAATTTGCATTAAACTCAAGAACAAAATTCCCATTTAATTTAATGGACCCAAGATTTTACTCTTGGTCATAGCACAAGTTACTTTATGGCTTATAGTCAGAACAGCTACTTTCTGTAGAGCATAAATGAGGAAACACTACCAGTATAATCACATTTCCTATCAAAGAAAAGAAAATGTATCATCTCAGCATTTTCGTGAAAGAGATCAGAATCTACAATGTATGGCTTGGACCATCTCTTTCTCCAAACAAGCATAGGATCCAGGGTCACAACGTTGTCCTGGGAAATGTCATATATCATGAAGAAATTCCCAGAAGTACATCTGTTTGAAGGAGCCAAATCAGCAGTAAAATGGAAGTATCCTCTCCTACTTACACCAGTGGGAAAACGTTTACTTTTCAATAATGTTATCCATTTCATTTGCTTCGTTCTCATTTAGGTTCTGCACATTTCAGAGAGACATCCACAGCTCAAAATCGTTTCAAAATTCTCACTTTTGAAACATTAGTGGAGTGTTTACTGGGACTTCAGAGAAGCTGTTCATGATGTTGTGCATATTTGGAAGCTGACCCATACCTTCATTCACAGCTGTGACACAAAAGCACAAGAACCTGGAAGGGAGGAGTGAGGAAGGGAGAAGGCAGTATTGCCAGCAATGATAATTCTGAAAGATATGAGATGAAATACTGAGTTCTTCTTTGTGCAGCCTTTTTTTAGGCATGAACTTACTATAATTGTTGGTTATCTGGATGCAGGGGATAAAATATGCCACTGTGCACACACAAAAAAAAAAAAAGTTATGAGATTTTTGTTTATAGGAATAAAATTCCTTCACACCATAAAAAGGGATCTCTTCATTCCATAAAGAGAGATCGGTGCCTCAGAGGAGGCTAGAATTAAGGCAAAGGCAGGCCTGTGTACACAGAGAGTGGCTCCATGTTTCATCACTTCTAAACGATAATGAATCATTTTAAATTAAGCCCTGCTTCTGTAGGTTCATATCCGAGTAGGGGCTTCCACTCAAGTTAGCAAGACCCTTCAGAATGAGATCGTCTCGCTAGGAATAGGGCCCAAAAAATTTTTATATATTCTACATATATGTCTACACATATTTGCACACACACTCATTCACAGGTACATATACACTCACAAGCATGCACACAGAAAGATTTATAAATATATTTATATATATGTACATATCGAAATACCAGATTTGAAAACCATGTCAGACTTGGAGTGTTACCTGCTTGTCAGAACCATTTAAACTACTATCTACACAGTACATATTGAAACTCAACTTTAAGATTTTTTATTTTTATGTACACTTCATTTTTTTCTCTGGAAATAAAATATCTAAATACAGACAGACTGTAATGTTGTATATGTATAGCTTTCAACAATACTTTAGCTGAATAAATGCTTTGTACATAGCTCTGTCTTTTAATGGAGTTTACAGGTACATTGATAAAACGGATTCCTCATTTCCTTGATTGTTTTTAACCAATAACAAGCAGAGAGACAATTACAAGTTAATATTAATAAGCAGCTCAAATAACACTGGTTAAATTATGTACAATACAAACCATTCATACAAATGAAGACTAGGATATTGAATTAGTTACAATATTTTGTAATAAAGATAAGACAGCCACTTATAACTTACATGTTCTCTGCCAGGCATTTTCCTTCTTAAAAATCAGTTGGTGAGTTTTTAAGTCGCTTAACTGGCCTAAACTCAACCAGATTTAAAGAATCAGAGGTTAAAGAGTCAGAGAAACATGAAACCAGAATGTCTGCCCACATGTAAATTCGAAATGTTTGCCCATCTTTACTAGTAACAGGCTCGCTCCACAGAAAAAGAGCCACCTAACACCACCTCAAATGTGCCTACTGTATGCTGGAAAAAAAGTTATGATGCTTTGCCATGTTCATATAATTAGGAATACTGAACTCTAGACACACATTTTTCCCGTTTTAACAAGTATTTACTCCTACAGTATTATTTACCAGTACAGCTACTCCAAGCAGTAGAATGCATGAGTGGGGATTATTCATTGGCGTGTACTCAAAGGACTTTCAAAGAGATTTTCATAACAGTCTGTGTTAGAAACCATTCTCTGTCTAGTTAATCCATTTTGCTTGATGATAGGTTATCCTGAAACCTTAGGTATCAGACAATGAAAGCTCTCTTAAGAGGAATCTCAATAGATGTGAGCTGAAAAGAGTGTGTCTCTCTGTGTATGTGTATGGTTTTATTTCAGATCCATAGTGATTTACAACTAGATTGATACATGAAGCTGACTGGGCAAAAATTACATTAGATTGTTTTCCGCTAACATATTTGCAGCCATTTGACATCAGCAGCAGCGGGTAGACACATTCCAGGCAATTGATGTGGCCTGTCTCCTTGAGGTTACAGCCCTGTCATACGACCTCTTTTATTCCCCAGGCTTCAGTCTCAGACATGTGTTGGTCCTCACCCTGATGGGAAGTAGGGTGTGTCACTGTGGTAGTTGTAATCAGGACACACCTTCTGTACTAGTTTATAATCTGTACTATAAAAGGAAATGTAAATACAGATTACTTTAAAGGGCTTGGAGCAGAGCCATGACACATGGCTCTGGGTCTGCTCTTGATAACAGGTTTTTGAAGGGTCATAGTTGCAGAGTGTGTTCTTGGTAGCCTTGTCAACCTTTTCATACTCAATTCGACAGTTAAAGGACTTGGAATCTTTGGCATCAATCACCGTCTGTTGTGCCAAGTCAAATTCCACTATTTTTGTAGGGGGCACTAGGCTCACAGATACATTCCCTTGACCAGTGGAGTTATGCCTGAAGTAAACACTAAACGTCCCATTGCCATGGTCAACGATTTTCCCTGTTATTAATAGATTTAGCTTCACAGTCTTGATGTTGGAATGAAAATCTCCCCAGCCAAACATTTTCTTAAATTTCCCAGTCTTGACAATGGGACGTCTCTTTGCTCTGGGCCGAGGCTCTTGCAGGTCTGTGGAGTTCCTCAGCCAGTCCCAGAGATCTTGCTCAGAATAAGTTTCTGGGACATCGTATCGCAGGTCCAAATCTGTATCATTTTCCTTCCCATGAAAAGTCTGTGACAGCAGTCGGCTGATGGACAAGTCTTTGCTACTTTCTGTCCATATGTGCTTTAGTATGGATTTGGAGCTTCCTGATTTTAGAAGTTCTGTTTTTCCTCCATTTGTTAAATTTGCACAGGTAACCTGAAAAAGAAGGGAAGAAGAAAAAAGCGTATATTGAGATGTGTAATTCAAAACCCATCATTCCCACCTGAGACCAAAATGATCAAATGTCAAAATCATAGGGAAATTTCTTTTGGGAAATCAAATTATAATCTTTACTCAGTAAAAGAAAACAGAAATGTCTGTTTTCCTCTTCTTTCCAAGTAGCTGTTACTTTATTCTCCTTTGCCAATCTTTTACACTGGCCTTTTACCCAGATTTATTCCCAGACATTCACTTTATTCTTCAGCCTGAAAGCTACCTCTGTTACAATGCCTGTAGGTGATAATTATCTAATGAAGTACTGCAAAAACTAAGGTACAAAGCCATGTCATCCTTCAGTCTTTATGTGGCTTTCACTTGCCATTTCTCATCTCAGTGTGAAGTACTCTTGCTCGAATGTTCTTACTGAAAAGTGACTGTCTCTTCCACCATCACAGTCACATTTATTTAGTTCTGCTGCCTATGAAGTCCACTGACAGGGTGCTGTGTTGGCAGTACCACCCTGACCATCTTCTGAGTCCATGTTATTTTAACTCTAATAATACTAATATAATTTCCCTACTCCTTTTATGGTTACATGTTGGTCTGTGTTCTTGACTGGGACCTTCCGTCACAACTACAATAAAAATAATAGAATAATGAAAATTTTAATGAGCTTTGTGTTGACAGCTGCTCATACTGCATTCTGTACATCAATTAATGCACAAGGAGTCACAGTCTTTTCTTATGATCGCTTACAGATTAGCTACTCATTTGTCTTGTCTGTATCTAGTATGACATGCATTTCTCCTTCTTCACTTCAATTCTTTTTTCACAGCTTCTTCCCCAAACCAAAAGTGATATGTGTAAGATAGAAAGCCATTTGTGTATTTACAAGAAACTAGGATCACTTATTCTTAGTAATAAAACAGCAGTAATAAAAAAATCCATAAAAATCACATTAAAAAAAAAAAAGATAAAATCTTGCACCAGGTTCCTACAAAACCCTAAACTTCAGACATCATTTTCCACAGGATTCCATGTTAGAGCAATTTTTCTTATTTATATTTTTTCTTGTTCCCTTAATTGTGTGGAAAACAGAGAACAGATGCAGCCTCGCAGCTGTCTAACATGCAGCACTGGTAGAGAGCTCTGACGGAGGGTGGCAGGGAGGGATGGAATTGGCAGGGGGCAGTGGGTAAATGTGAAGAACAGCACCCTTAGTCCCATTCACCCTAAAAAATTGCACCAGACACACTGCCACGTTTTGTAACATTTGGACCACTCTGAAGGGACCATCAAGTTTCTTATTTCACTTTTCATGGCTACACATCTACATAGGAGATTCTGAATATGCCTGGTTTATTCCTCTGGGTTCTGACACTGATTTACATGCTCATATCATACTTGCAGTTATATCTTTCTCTTCACTTAAAAATGAATCGACTGTATTCCCAACACAGGAAACACGTTTGAAACCAGCTAGTATTTAAATCATGGCCCCTCCCTACTGGTACAGTTGGAGGTATATGTCACCTTGGATATCTGTCACAGCATGGCCTTTTCATTTCCTAACATCATGGAACTGAAACATGCTTTCATTAGCTTCAGTACTTTTTCAAGGTCAGTTGAAGGCAAATACATAAAATCAGTCTAAATTGTCTTAATACACTGATCACATAGGAGGTATGCCCCCAGCCTTTTACAGTACACAAATAGGTAAATAAATCTGTCACATCCCATGCTATACCTCCCCAGTGCATTTCAGGTTGGTGGGTCAGTAAGGGTAACAGATAAAATATGGGGTTTATTTGGGATTGTGCTAGAGATTACTTCCTCCTCTTTTGAATGGAAGGAAGGATTAAAACACAGAATACCATTTTGATGGTCAGTTTGTAGCTGCATCTTAGCATCAACACAGTGAGCCAGGAGAGAAGCTGTAATGATATGCAGTAATGGTGCACTGGTTAATGAAGCAGCAATGAAGATGTCACAGGGAGAGAGAAAAAGACTCAGAATATAATTTTGCTGTGGCGTATGGGGAAGGCGTGCAAAATAAGGAAAGAAATGTTTTTAAAAGGAAAAATGTGCCTGTCTAGTATGAATCTGTCAACCTGTTATGAATGTAAGCAGTTAGCTAGCAGAGCTAGTATACTTACAATCTATAGGCAGGATGCTTACCGCTATATTTTTCTTTCCTCACAGTTTGCTTTTCCTTTGTTTCCCATCTGTATCCAATGATTTTTATTTCATAGGATTACACTACAAGTTCCATGTAACATGATGTAATGGTATAAAAGCCCTTTAAAAGGAAGGTCTCTTTTTTCAGATGTATAAAACTGAACACCGAGGAAAGGAATCAGGTATTTTCTGAAATAGTTGCTGACTGATCTAATACATGTGTTTTTTGAAAGCCAGTATATTTCATGGAAACAGATGATTCAGATTCCGTGCATACTATACTGTTTCATACTTGATCTAACAAATACAATTGATTGTTACTGTCAAAGATTTTTTAATACCTGAAAGACTTCTGGTCATGCAGTTAGCCCCAAGACCTGTTTGTGATTTTCAGTGTGGGTAACTGGCTGCCTTCAGAATTAAAGGCCTGAACCTGGTCTCCCTAGTCAAGTGTTTGTGTAAGCACTAGAAAAAACAGCCCACAAGTGTTAATAAAAAAGCTCTAGAATTTATTGTTCATCACAAACATTTCCCAGACAAGTGCTTCTTCATATACTGCTAGTATACTATGTGTGTGAAAAGTAGCTATATGTATCCTCAGAGACTCACACACCCAAAAATACAGAGCACTGTTGTGTAAAAGAATTTCTGCAAATGCAGCAGGTATTTTCACATGAACTAATCCACAATTTACTTCCACCTCTCTTCTTTCCAACCACAAGGCTGCAATAATACAGGAAAGATCATGCAAATTCGTGAGATTTTGCACTTAGTAATGTGCAAAGTAGCTTACTGAAACATAGACCTATTTTAGTGATCCATGAAAAAAGAGCCAATTTAAAATGCCTAACAGAGAGCTAAAACACTGAGGAGTCCAAATGTTATGTTGGCTTTTTTGTCCTCCTTCGCGAGTATATTTGCATATAAACCAGAAATCTGCATATGCACCTTATCAATTATCTTACTGTGACCAGAGCTGGCTTCTTGTCCACAGCCAAGTGTCAATCATAGGTGAAACAATGAAAAGCTTGGCCTACTTGTACTGAGCCTGGCTAGGGTAGAGTTAATTTTCTTCATAGCAGCTCATATGATGCTGTGGTTTAGATTTTTGACCCAAGCACTGGCAACACACAAATGCTCTAGCTCTTGCTGAACAGTGCTTGCACAGCATCAAGGCCACCTTTGTTTCTCTGGACCCCTCAAATGAATAGATTTTGGGGGTGCACAATAGGTTGGGAGAGGACACAACTGAGTAGATGACCTGAACTAGCTAAAGAGATACTCTACACCTTACAACAACATTCTTAGCAATTAAAAGGAAAAGAGGAGGTTTTGGAGGGTTTTAACCATCTTTTTCTCTGGGACTGTCTGGGCATCACTCTACCCATGAGGGGTGGTGACTCTTGCCTCTGCATCACTTGTTTTGTTTTCCTCTCTCTTCTTCCACTTATCCTTCACTTATTAAACTTTTCTTTAATCATGACCCCAAGTTTTCTTTCTTTCATTTTCCTTTCCTCTTCCCCTGTCCCAGTGAGGAAGGGTGGGAAGTAAGTGAGCAGCTGTGTGGTGCTTAGCTGCCCACCAGGGGTAACCCACAACACCACTGCAGTGTAACATATCAGTGTTGCAAAAGAGCTGAGGAGTGGGACTTCCCCCGTGAATGCGTAGCTAGAAGGGGTTTTGAATGACTATTATGTCAGCAGTGCCCATATAGAACAATAGCAAGGAGTAAAAAAATTTAGAAATGCTTATTCAGTGCTACAAATCTCAGTGGAAAGAACTCGGTAGGCACGACAGACTGATCTTTGGTTCCGGTGTTGTATTTTTAATGGAAAGTATGAATTTCCACTACCTAGTAAAGTTTACTGATAATCAAAAAGGTACAAGGAGCTTACTGGCTGGAGACTCCTTTCCAACAAATAATGACAAATTGTTATCCCGTTTCTTATTCTGCTTGTAGGAAGGAGTAAAGAAAGTGGTTTCACTGGGAACAATATCCAAAAGTGTCATTGAAAAAGACAAAGGAATTGATCAGTAATTGAGTTTTTACTTCATTAAAATAGAATACCCCGTTCATTTTGCATCCTCCTTTTTGAGGGTGACAATTTTTTTATGATGATGTATAACATCGTTAAATGTACTTTAATGAATATGTGTAGTTCTTTCAGGACTTCCTAAAGGACAGGCATTTTATTTATCTCAGAAATTTTGGAGTTCTCCTTCAAGACACTGAGGCCTAAATGATTTTTCAGATCAAACCTGAACATTTGGAGCAGAAAAGAAGAAGTTGGAAAGAGATCTGAGGAAGCCATGAAGGCTCCAGTTGATGATTTAGACCCTCTTCTCAGTGTAACATTAACTCTAGGTATATTAACATCAATTTATAAGACTGATCAATCTGAAATTTTTAAAAAATAGTCATTCAAAGATGTATGGAATGCCTCTTGATTTCTTAGTTTTTCCTTTTATTCTAGCTCTACTACAGTTCATTATCTATAATTACAACACTGGTTTAGAAATTATGTATTTATTCCTCTGAATGTATGACTACTTGAGACCAAATGAAAATGTAAACAAACAATCTAATACTCAAGGTAGGAAATCTCTCTCTTTAGGTAAATAACTAATCAAAACCAAGATCATTTTTGTTGTCATAGCACTGTGTTTGGCAGCACTGTGTTTGCACCTGCTCTTTAGAAAAGAATTCAGAATTTTCTTTCCTCAGTCAGATATCTCAGATACAGCGTGAGTAGGAGAGTACTGATGAACATAACTATAAGCTGGACCATTATCAAGGCAGGACAGCACTCAGAAAACTTTATCTG